AACAAAAACTAGAACAAAACAAAAACCAGATCCGGTTATACAAACTTGTGGTGTACCATAGATGCATTGCATTGCAATGTGTATTGCTCCTTGTACTAGTCTACTCCTGTGACTGAAAAATGACATAGCAGAGCTGAAGAAGGTTCAGAGAAGGGCAGCAAGGATGACTGAAAGGCTTCATTTTAAAGAACAACCTGCGTTTCCCAGCTGCCTCTGTCGCCTGTCTCCACTCATGAGTGTAGTGACTGCAGCATCTTGTAGACTTCTAAACAGTGAACTTAACTCTCACAACTCAGTGCAGACTTGTCCTTTTGTGTAAGCTTATGTCACTTAAAGCAATAACTAAAAATGTGATGTAATGGTTTGCTCAAACGTTTTTCTTGTACTCTTGACCAGAATGCATTTCCTAATGGCTCTGGTAGTGTGCTTTCCATGTAGGTTTTCTTTGAGTAAAGGATTTGGGGGTTTTGTTTTTCTAATTGCAAATCATTTGCTTTCCTAATGCAAATATAAAAGGTATGATAACCTGACTTTTGGAAAGAAAAAAAAAATCTACTGCCAGTTTAAAACACACAGGTGTAAGATACTATTTACAAACAGTGAATGTACTTTATTGGGGTAACCGTAGTCTTTGTTCTTGGGTTTTCTGACTTCCAGACTGCATCTTCTGAGCTCCATAGGAGGACCTGTCTTGTTTTAAATATGGAGGAAAGTTGGGAAAAAATAATCTTGGTCTCAATGTGTTAACAGTATAATGGGTCACACTTCTGTGTAACAGGAAGGGTTACAGAAGGTAGGTGCTTGTGCTGAATTTCCCTGTAACAGTGTGTAGAGTGGGGTGAGATTTTAAGCATTTGAGATACTGGGCAAAACCAGACTTGCTTCCAGAAACTCTTGAATGTATTTAGTATTGCTTTACCTTAAAGTAGAGGATGTAATAAATTAATACCACCACAGATGCTGAAGAAAGATAAGTTAGATACAGAATTCTGCATAGGATAAATTTGAGTATGTGGGATTTGTGTTTCTTTGGCTGAGACAGGAATCTCATACAGTTTCCATCTTATTTATATTAACCTGGTAACATGAAGTTGAGTCTTCTGCCATTAAATCACTTATGGTGATTACTTTTTTAAAAACAAACAAAAAAAACCCCAACACACAAAGCCAACCAAAAAAACCCCAGTTATTAGCGGAGTGACCTTATCTTTTCTTGTCACTTGGAATTATGAGTTTTGTCTGTTTATCTGGTCACATACAGAGTTACACAGCTTTGGGTCTTCTAAAAACTCTTTATTTCATATGTTCATCGGTAATGATGATAACTTTCTCCAAGTTGGCAGAATTTTTTGTTCTTAATCTAAAAAGGTACAAGGTGGGGTTTTTTGGCCTTACCTGGCACTGTTACTTACAATCTTATTAGCTTTTTAACCCTTGATCCCTGAAAGAATATAGAGGATGATGAGAGCCAGTGTGCTGGTAAGGATGAATGAATATCACTAATGTAATTTGTTACACTGAGGTTCTAAATTAAATGAGTAAAAGCAGAGTGTTCATTTCAGGTAGTCTTTTTATAATTGGGAAAGATAGCATGCTTTAGGAGTTAAGTCTCTCTACATTAACAGGAGAGACAATCTTAAAATTTGTGATTACTATTAAAATATGTACAGCAAGTAGTTATCATCCAAAAAAGAAAAAAGCATGAAAAATTGCTAGATGTGTTTCAGGTCATGCTGGATAAAAAGAATTTCAACTTTTATTTAATATAGTAAGAAATAAGGTCAGAATTTTTCCAAAGTTGAAAGGTGTTTCATGTCCAAAGACCTGTCTCAATAAAATTGGGTTAAACTGTTTTTAATGTCGACTTTAAGAAAGTTGCACTGTAAATCCGTTGTCCAGCAGCATGTTGTTGTCATGCAAGTTCTCCTCATCTATGATCTGTAGGACAGACACTTCAGGACTAGTTTATGCAGGTAATTAACAAAATAGTTTAATGAACTTGAGAAATATTCCTGTAACAATAGTCAAATATACCTGACTTCTAGAAATCCTTCCCAGTATGGTTGTGATCTTTGCATACTAACAAAAGTACATTGGTGTCGTGGTTTAGCCCCAGCCAGCAGCTCAGCACCACGCAGCCGCTCGCTCACTCCCCTGCCCCGATGGGATGGCGGAGAGGATCGGAGGAGTAAGAGTGAGAAACACTCCTGGGGTGAGATAAGAACAGTTTAATAGTTGAAATAAAGTAAAATAGTAATGATAATAATAACAATAGAATAATGATAATAACAATAATACTATACAAAGCAAGTGATGCACAATGCAATTGCTCACCACCCGCCGACCGATG